TGGAGCCATCTGCATCATTCCCATCTCTATGGGGTTTCTGGGTTCGGCCCCCCGGTGGTGATAACAATATGCTGACACCACCATCTCCAGAGGGTCCCGGACAATCATCACACCCCGGAGACCAGCATTCACGCTGTGAACTTCCTGTCGCAGCTGCAAGATGTCTTCTTTGTTGATGTGGTTGTGAAATCGGATGGGAGCTGGGAAGAGATCACATTCATTGTCCACGTTCAGGCTGGTCACACTATGATCAACGCTGCCGTTTGGGTCATGGTGCATATATCTGCAACTCACGGTTGCACCCAGCAGGTCAAAGGCGTGGGCCATGGTGTTGCGAAGCAATTGGCTGCCTGCTTTGTGGTTCGTTCCAACCACAAAGACGCGCTCATCCCATGGATGGACTGCGACCTTTTGGGTCTCGTGCACTGACAGCTGCTTCTGAATGAGTGAGCTCTCGGCAGCCGCAACTTCCTCTGGTTGGTGGTGAAACAACCCGAAAAATATGAAAGTCATCAGTTGGGATGATGACATTCCCAATATATGGAAAAATAAAAATAAAAACACCAACCAGTCCTTCTCACACTCGTCGGTTGCAAGGGCCAGTAGGCATAGCGGGCACAGCTGCATAAGCAACATCGGTCGCCAGCCAGGCATAGCTTGTATGGATGGTACAAGTAGCTACGAATGGCGCTACGAATGGCGGTGTCTTTGAAAGTTTGTCACTACCACCCTGAGCCAAGCCATCACAAGACTGGTCCGAGCAAAGAGCAGCTTGATGAGTCATAAATTGTCACGTTCTGAGGGGGATCACACGAAGTAAAGAAAGTGAAAAACTAAGCTTACTGATCTACTGAGGGCGTGCAGTTGGGTTGACGAAAAATTGTCTGTACCGGTGCCCAGAATCCCTTCCGCTTCAAACTGACGATGGGTTTTGTCCCCCTACATCCACCGTTCCTGACGTGTTCTTCAAAACTGAACAAGGGGATTATCCCGAACTAACATGAACTGGGCACCATTACCAGCATTTTCTCATCTTTTCTGGCCAAGAAAAGGGATTCACCATACTTTTCTCTCAAAAGTCTAGCAGTTCTGCCAGCCCATTGCCAGCCCAGCCACGGCAGGTGCGGCGTAAGGTGTCGGAAGGCCAAGAAGAGCGTGCCACGCAGCGAGAGTTGCGAGACGCCCAAGGACAAACCCATGAAGCTGCCCAGGGTCAGCCTGGCGGCAAAGCTTTGGCTGGGCAAAATATTCGGTGATCTCCTGGAGATTAATAATCAAATATAGAGGATATTAGGGATATTAGGTGAAATCATTTATTTGATATCCTGGAAAATATTAGGGGTTAATGAAAAACCATCAAATATAACAATCAAATGTAGGATTAACAATCAAATATAGAGGATTCCGCATAGGGACATGATGGGACGAATATACAATATTATACAAGATATATCTTCCGGTCAGACATGTTACAGTTTGTGGTTACAGTTTGCGGATGGCCCATTTCGTTCGATGATTTACCGTTTTAAAAGATGGTAATTGTCCATAGCTATGTTAAATTGCATGCGCAGAATGTGTCTAGGTACTTGTTATCACAATGATGTCTATCAATTGCTATATATGATATATGTTTATCTGTTGTGTCTGATCTAATAATTATTGTTGAATATGATTGTCGTCATGACTAACGTGATGGGAATGATATTTGGTCATTACGATGAAATGAACTTGTAACTACTAGAATGGGCTAGACTAGGACAATAGGTATCTCTATGTATCTCTATATATGTGTATAGACTGATTAGTCATTGCTGAAAATCAAGGCCACGGCCCGTGGTCGATGAATTTTCTTAGGAAAAATGCTGAATTGATTTGCAGGATGTAGGAACAATGTCACTATGTCTGTCTGAAAATGGTACCCCATTTTAGCGGCATTTTTGCGAGGAAAAAACGATGGTCAACTAGTGGATTCAGGACGTTCTCTTCTAGATTTTCAGACAAAACCATGTTGAAACTGTTTCAAGGATGGGTTATCAACCAAAGGATACTCTGATTGGTCCTTCGCACCTGGTGCATTCCAGGTCCAGTGGGGGTTGTTTCTGGTAGGTCAAGCCCAAATTCTTGCGTGAAATCCCCTATTTGTGGCTGGTGAAACACCCCAAAAAAATCCAGGTCTAAACCCGGCCCAGGTGCTTCAGCGTCAAGTTCACATCCTTCCGAGCGTGGTGTCCATATGGGGAGACTGGTGGTTTGCTTTCCCAATATCAAAGTCAGCTGAGGTCATTCCAAGTCCAGAGGTGACCAGTGTAAGTGAGGCTATCAGCCACTGATGTCATTGGGAAAGGTGTCCGTGCGATCCCAATGAGCCCCGCGAATGGAGACCCCGTGTGGAACCGAAAAAAAGGTCGTCCAGAATGTTTCGACACCGGATTGTCCATGTCTTTTGCACCTGAACATTTAAAATACGTATTGCAGATTGTCCATTTGTAGATTGTACCTATTGCAACGGTGATTTTCCATAGCTATGCTAGTCTACCCAAGGGTGAGTTCTTGGATTTTCACCGTGCACTTTACGGCTTTCACATGGCATCAACTTATGGCTTTAAACTCCACAAAGGGCATCACCTTGCCGACGAACTCCGTGTCCATCACTAAGAGAATGGTGTGCTCGGGCCTGCCATACATGGCCGACAAGTGCGGTGGGTGTCACATGGTGTCACCTTGTAGGCCAAAATTAGTTGCTTTCTATATGGACGGAATTCCTGAAATGGGGGTACTGCAATTCATGTGATTTCATCCCATGACCTGCACAGGTGAACTCATGTCCATGCTGCTGCTGTGTCGGTCCGAAGGGGCCCCGTGAGCGTCGTATGGCTGTGCGCCAATGTGGAAAAGTGCCATCGTGTTGGCAATCGTAGTGCATGCTGGCTTGTCGGCATAATCATTGGGAGAAGAACATCATTTTATTCATTGTGTACCTCTTTTCGAACTGGCCCGAGCAACTGACTTGCTTGAGACTCTTCTTCTCAGACCACGGACGGGTCTTGGACGTTGATCTCTTCAACTGAATTGGTCCAACTGCTCCCCAAAGCTACCAGTTGCAGGTACCCCAAAATCATCCATTTTAATAGAATGTTCAATTATATACCATCCAGCTATTGGGGTACCGCCCATTCTCGGAAACCCCAGGAGATATGTACCATCCAAAATTTGGAACCATCCAATCGTGGGTCAAAGATTTGGACTCAGAATGTCATCAAAAACTGGAAACCCGGCAGCAAACATGGAGACTTTTTTTCAGAAGATCCCCACGAAAGAAGACCCCACGAAAGAAGAGGCCTGAACAAGGGCCAGCACTGTGTTCTGGAAGTTTCAATGCACATTTTAGGATAAAGGTGATACTATGTGGTGCCAATACTTCCCTAATTTAATGCCGGAAAAGAACAGGAACATCATCTTCAACATCTTCCAAGCCCATCTTCCATCTTAGAGTTTGATTGCTTGAGACTGAACTTGAGACTATGATTCTTGCCCTTTCACATGTCTCTCCACAAATTGCTAGATCAAACCTGAAAAAAAACATTAACTATAGTTATAAATATAATAAGCCATAGTTATTGGAGTTATAAACCATAGTTATATGGCCTTAGATAAGGCCAATTCAGCCATTCTTCAGGGCCATATTCCACATTTCTTCAGCCCAATTGCCGCAGCCTCTGAGTTGAGACCATTCGTAGTGAGTGGACCTTGGGCGGCTCCCGCCCCAGGAAGGCACTATCGAACTTCAGCGCGGCAGTGACATTCTCCTGACGCTTTTGGAAGCCAAGAAACCAACATGTTTTATCAAATTGCTGTGTCTGAAATGCAGTATACCCCCCCAAAAAAAAGTGCGCTTCATGGAGAAAATGAATTTTGTATTACACATATATATATATATACGTATATATACATCAGATTTAGAGGTACATACCATAGTTTCAGACAAACCCAAACGGCTTTAAAAGGGGCTCGAAAGCCTGACAACAAAAAATGACAATTAACTTTTGAAACCACAAGAAAAGTGCGGTTGGCTTTGAGAAGGTTTAATTTCATAGGGATCAAAAAATAGAAATTGAATGTTTGAAAGCACAATAAAGTAGTTTCAGAGGATGAGTTTCTCGTTAATCTTGACATTCCACGGGGCAAACCCTGAATGTTGGACCAAAGGCTTTGTAGCTATCGGTTCTATTCACATGTTGGTGGAACATCCATAGTTTCCGCCATCTGAATCAAACGAATCAAGCACTGACTCTTCCGATAGTTCAGCATCTTTCAGCATCTTTTTGTTAGCATCTTCCACTCTGTTTACCTTGCAGTTCCCCAGCAATTTCTCCCCATCTCCAGTGTTCGGCTCTTCGGTCCTGCAGCACTGACTGGACCTCTCCTTTCAGGATGTCTTCTTCGATCATCCCGCGCAGACTGGGCCACAGCTCCTGCAACAAATAGTTCCAGAAGCTGGGGTCGTGTACCTGGCGCTGGGCTGCAGAATGGCAACGGAGAAAATCGGTTTTTCAAGGCCCTGGGCAACAGCTTGAACCTCGGATTTTTGTTGAGGATTGAATCTGGAAATGATCGGCAAACAGCAGAATCCCTACCTTAAGATCAGGGGGCTCCATGATTTCTTGAAGAGATCCAGCACTTTGAGATACTTTGAGCCCAGGGTTTTGAGGACACTGTGGACTGGTGATTCTTTCAGAATGCTACTAAACTCCAAGGAAAAGAAAAACAACTTGTGCATAGGTAGCACTCAACCTTATATTTGTGCAACATCTTGGCGCCCATACCCTGATTATCCATAAAGTTTAGCCGCTAAGCCTATCAGTTGCAAGTGCAGTTGGATCTGGTTTGGCACTGGGCAAAAGCCAAATTCCTTCCTGCTTGGAACCCCAACACCAAGAACCTTCCGCAAAAGTGGTGCCCCCATTGCAACTGAGTGGTGCTGTTCCATGGGTATCCCCCAAAACATGGGATTCCTGACGAAAAAAACCCGCCAATATTTATGGTCTTTGGGGTTCTCAATTTCAAGAACCCTTTCGGGCCCCTTTTGAGACCCAAATGGCAACTCTAAATCAAGATTCTTTGAATCAAGAAAACAACATGCTGTGGGTTAATTAAACTCCAATTTATGTGGGTTCAATGCCCTCATTGGGTTTTGTCTGAAAATAGTGTACCCAAATAAAATCTTGTTGAGAACATCATTTTCCCTACTAGAATTAGTATTAAATGAGATATAACTGGACAAATCCATATATCATCTAACGATGGTGATATCTTCATGCATTTTCCCCCAATGAAATCCCCATGTTTCATGCGTGACTTTACCCTTTGTTACTAACTAACTATATGGAAAATCGCCACTGTTCATATGTAAATCAACTATAAATGGTCCCTTTTCAATAGCAAACTGTTAGATTCCCGCAGGGAAAAGCCCAGCATTTTAAGGGAGCCATGAGGAGCCCCTCTGCACCTCTTCAGGCTCCTCCATGGGTGGTTTCAGCAATCTCTGGCTCAGCCGTCGAAGGCCCCCAACAATCTCCTGGCTTTTTGTTGGGAAGTTGAAGTGACCAAAGATTTGGCCAAATAGCAAGTATGTGATGATATGTATTTGTTGTGTATATATATACATATATATATACATATACATATATATATAATGAATTCATATGTATATATATATATACACATATCTATATATATAGACACAGATATACACCCTATGGATCCAAGTGCCGTCTTAGGAAGTATTTGGGGTTATGATTTAGGTGGTATTTTGTACCTTCTCAGGAAGAGTTTCAATCCATGGATTTATATATTATCTATATATTTGTATATACAAATATTCAAATATAGAATATGATATTGTGTGTATATACAATATACCTTTGAATCGTCGATTGCAATTGAACGGATGTTCCTATTAAACTATCTTATTTTGTGTGTCAACGATCTTGACACATACCCACATGAAGACCCAACGGTTAGGTTTAAGGCTTACGGTTTCTTAACAACCCACATTGTTCTGGGTGTTAGTATTAATATCTGTTCAAAACATTGAATTCTTGGGTTCCCCAGATGCATGTGGGTCAAAACGTCAATACGACCAAAAGGGACACATGAAGATATTCGAGTTTGTTGACACATTCAATATGCCAAATTTGGTTGGCTTATATAAACTCCTGTAAAATGCCCCAAAACTAGCTAGCTGGTTTAAGTTTAAGTCCCATAAAATCCCATGAAATCCCCATAAATCACCAATAAAATCCACATCAAACCCGCCTTAAATCACCCTGGAATCCTAAATGGTACCCTCTGGTAATTTAACATAGCTATTGAAAATGGCCCATTTATAGTGGATTTTCCCATTAAAATGGTGATTTTCCATAGTGACGTTAAATTACCAGAGGGTACCCCCCGCTCTCCTTGGACATGGACTGCCTGAGCTCGGGCGTCCTCCCGTTGTTCCGCGGCCGCCCGATGCCGTTCAGCGCCAAGCCGTCGCGCTCCGCGGCGGCGCGCAGCCCGGCGTAGCCCTCGGCCCACTCGGAGAGACGCGGGCGCTTGGCTTCGGGGAAGCTGAGGCCTGAGGCAATGGAAAATCACCATTTTTAATGGGAAAATCCACTATAAATAGCCAGAAATCACCCAGAAATCACCCAGAAATCATCGTTCAGTGAAATCACCAAGGATATCACCAGGTCTCATTTCGAATCGAAGGTTTTGCCCATTGAAATCACCAGTGATATCGAGAAAATCCAGATTTTCATCCCTCATTTTTAGAGATGATTTTACCATTGAATATATATATATATAACCATTTCTGCAGGAATTCCCTGCCATGTTTGACTACTCGGAGGATGTCAATTTTCACAGGGACAACTTCTAAAATTATGTTTCTCAAGCACTGGATTGTCAAGTACCATATGCCGCATCAAGCTGAGACTTGGACCGAGTTGGGGATGCGAAAAACCGACAATATCCATGGGTTTGATCATCGTAGGTGAACCGCAGAAGTGTCATACTTTTTTTGCATGTATCATATCATTACGTCATATTATATATCCAATATCATTCAATAATTTTCGGGCCAGCATTCTCCTCGAATCAATCTTCAGAGGCGGTTGAGTGAAAATGACGTTCAATCCATCTCGACGCTGCATGGACTTGCAGCATTCGAAATTGCAACTAAATACTCTGCGGACAATCAAACGTGGCAACGGACAATTCTCCATTCATACAAGATTTTCCCATCATATAACACCTTCATGGCTAGTTCGTGAATTTTCCAGCCAGCCACGTGGCTAATTACCTAACTCCCCTTATACCCCATGATACCCCTATTATATCCGATCATATTTGTATCACCATTTTGCTTAGTTAAATGTATCCCAATTATCATCACTAACATCATTGAATCATATTTATCATACTACAGAACCATGATCAACTAGTACTAGTCCAATATATCCCTATGATCATCATCATTCTTCAGCGGTGTTCGCAGTTTTCAACCAGTATTCACCAGTATCCAAGTGGCACAGCAGCGCCGCCAGCGCGTTGCAGCCGGCCGCCGTCCATTTCGAGGGCTGTGGCAGCAGCCACTTCGCGAGGCGGTCTGCCAGGAAGACCACGGCCACTAAGGCGGTGGCGCTGGCACGCCTGCAGGTTCCAATGGTGGCACTATAGAAATTATGGGGGAATTGAATGGATTTCATGGTGGTTTATTGGTTACGAATGATGATGATAAATAGACCGATATGACATTCATGATTTAGTGGTTTACCTTGCAATACTGTTGATTCAGTGCGATTTAACGGTTGCTCATGATTATCGAGATGGTCACCGACTTGGGGTTCGTTTAGACCCCATGGTTTAACCAACAAAATTGCGTTTACAAAAACGAACAAGTATGGATTTTGAACCACAGAAACAATGGCTCAAGAAACAAAATTGGTGTTTACTCTACCATCCAAACGGGCATTTGCATCTCCTAGAACACTTGTAGGCATGACAGGGCTGATTTTCGGTGATTTGGTGGGGTAAATCCCAATGGGCCCCCTTCTCGGCTGTAGATCTGGCACTCGGTCCGGCTAGAAATTGTCACCTGGTGGGGCTATGGTTGGGGGCCACAAGCAAATAGCCAGGTCACGATGCTAGCAATGCAACTTGCCCACCTCACCTCAATCTATAAGTCTTGTACAGCCCAGCCCAGGATGCTACATGGAAAAGTTTGGGGGTGTATGCGGGTGTATGAAACAAACGTGCGTAGCACCTTTCATGTGCGCTCTTGCATGGGGGAATCTTCGCTTGGATTCGTGAAGCGTCATTTCATGACTTTGTAAAAAGCAAACAGCAAACTGTTTCTGGGCTGGAACTGCTTGGTTCGCGTGCAAACATGCTACCAATAGCCTTACAAACGTGCTAGGCAAGGTATGTATAAAACTGGCCAGGTCTAGCAAGGTCGTACGCTAAAACGCATGGCTCCTTGGAACATGTCCGCTTGGCCAATTTCTTGACCAAGTTCTTGAAATTTGCTTGCTTATAGGGGTCATTGGTTTCAGCTGCGGGCTTTCATTGAACACGTTTCCAGAAGTACCACCTTTGAAGCATTTGGCGAAAAATTGTGTCAGTTTTGGGGCCGAGGGCTGGGCTTTGACACTTCCCACACCATCATTAATCCCAGGAAGAAGTGCGTGCGGTAGCTTCATTTTGGTATGCTTTTGCTAGCAGCTTGTATACAGCTACAAAGTTTCCATGGCTGCGATAGGGAACCCATTGGGTCTGCTATCTCCAAACAACCCTAATTGGCTAGACTGCCGGACCACCTGAAGCCACATGGTTGGGACAGCTATAGCTGCACTTGAATTACAGAAAATTGTAGAAGGAGGGGCCCAAAATCTGACCGGAGTGAACCTGGTAAATGTCTGGGCCATGATTGTGCACATGAAATTCAATAAGCCTCCCGCTGTGAGGCGCACAGTCTGCCACAAAATTCTGACACAAAGGTCCGAGGTCCGTAATAAAGCCTACGCCGTGGTGTTCAGTTTTATACTTTGTGGTCTTGTCTTTGCTTGCGCATTTTGACGCACACATTAGTGTGGACATACGGTTTGGCTAACTGAATAATCTACCCTTTCAACCCCACCCCCAAGTTAGAATATAATTAAAACTTGGTTAAAATGAAATTGGCCCCTTCCCAACCCCCAGCCCCAACATTCCAAAAGTTGGATGCTTGAATACTAAATCATACTAAATCAAGCTTGTCCTCATCACCCCCACCTTTCCCACTTGGAAGATCCCTGCTATTTTCGTCATTTCAAAACATCTTCCCTTCCCACCATCCACCCCCAACCCCACCCCCATCCCATCCCACCATCCCACCCACCTGGCACCCACGCGCGTCTCATGGCAGCATCCACTCACCGAGGCTGATAGCAATGGCACCGCCGCCAGTTGCAGGTGCAACATCAGTGCATGGCCGACCGCCAGGGCACTCAACGAGCCGTCCTGGAGAAACAAAAACACACTGTTTTGGAGGGTTGAAAGCTATTAAAAGCTAGTTTCTACGAATATTATTTCCAAATGAATGCATTTAGATCTTGAGTTTTTTTGGAAAGTTTTGGTATAGTCACTCTGATCTTCAGTTTCTATTTCAACTTTTAGGTAATGGCCTGAGATTTCAAAGAAATTCTCAAACATGAAACATCCATCCGTACTGGTCGTCGTTCATTGGCGATACCCAAGACGAAATCACTGGAGTTGTAGCGATAGCACGCTGAAACATGGACATGGCTTATATGGCTTATATGGCAGATGGTTTTTCCCGGTAAATTTGTTGCTTTTTGGGTTCCAACTATAGAGGAGATTGGAGGAGTTTCCTTCCCTTGGACCAATTACACCCAGCAATCAGTGCTGAAAATCCATAGAAATCTAGCTTTGGAGCGACGATCGTCGCAAGCAACTA